GGGGGGGGGGGGGGGGCGGCAGCCAAGCTGTAGCATGATGGGGAGAGGGGAGGCCGGCAGCCAGGGTGTGGCATGACATGGGCAGAGGCAGCCAAGCTGTAGCATGGCAGCGGGGCCGGCAGCCGGGGTGTAGCATGGCCCGGACGGGAGTGAGCACGATGGGGCGGAGGGGCGGGACACGCCATCAGACCCGAGCAGTGTGCGCATGCGTGCGTGCGTGCGTGCGCGTGCACGCGCGCGCGCTGATTTTCATCACGGCACTGCGTGTACAATGGCCATGGCTCTCCAGTGCCGGGCTGTTGAAGGGTATGTGCCAGATCGCCTTGGGCCGATCCTAACGGCTGCAGCAGACGCCCCGACGGGCCTCGATCCTTCGCCCCCGGGTGCCGGATGAAAGCTGCGGCAACCTGTTGGCCCCACATCTCAATCTTATATCGCCGCCAAATCAAACTACAGGCACCGGCCTTGGCTACGCCTCATTCTGCTCACCTTCTTGTCTTGCGGCTATGCACCATGCGTCGCAACCCACTGAACGCTTCCGCCGCTCTCTCCCCCCCCCCCCACAACCCCGCGCACTTGCTGCCCGATATGCGCGGCCCTGCCGCACATAATTTCGGACCCCAGGCCAACACACACATATACACACACATACACACTCACCCACATACACGCACACACACGTGCCCAGATGCACAATCACACACACACACACACACACACATACACACACACTCACACGCACTGGCTTCTCCCGCACATGATCGCTCCTTCATCCGCAGGCCAACTCTGGTGACACAAAGGGCCTGGTGGGCCCCGGCACCACCTGGCGGGAAGTCCAGTGGACAAAAATCCGCCTCCTCTCACGGGAATTCGGGCTCGTGCCGTGGTACTGCACTTATGTTTCGCCCGACTTTTGCAGCACAATCCAGTGGTAGCGGCCCAGGCAGGCTCCCGTATCAGGGCACGCCCGCGCAGCCGCAGCACCCTGCGCGTGCGGGCGCGCACCGGACGGCGCAGTCTGCCAGGCGTTGGCTGTCGCTGCTGCTGCTGCTGCTGCTGCTGCTGCTGCTGCTGCTGCCGCTGCTGCTGCCGCTGCTGCTGCTGCTGCTGCTGCTGCTGCTGCTGCTGCTGCTGCTGCTGCTGCCGCTGCTGCTCGGCCACCAAACTGCGTTGATCTTGGGAGGGGGGCTCTCGGTCGGTGGCACTGTCTTTTCTTTAATCTGGGCCAAGGTATTGTAGAGGGATCAGGCTCGTTTAATTCGGCGTATGGGAAAAGCTGAGTGCGCCGCAAAGTGCACCCTCAGCTTGCCGGCGGCGCTGGGTCTGGCCGCTGTCTTGTGGTCCCGCAGCAGCCCTGGCTCTCATCACGCACACCCGCAGCCCTGGCTCTCATCACGCACACCCGCACACACATGTTTAAGAGGCTCAACTCGGGGCCTGATGTTTAATGATATGCCATTTGGCTGCCCCTACCCCACATTCTTGGGGCTGGGGGCTCCCCTTATTTGCCTGCTGGCGCACCTGCAGCTGCCAGCTGCCAGCTGGCAGTGCCACCGCACCCCTTGATCTCTTCCGGTTGACTGATGGCCGCGTGGCCTTGAAAATTTTGGAACGCGCCGCTCTCGAGCGTCGCCCTTCTCGGCCACAAGCCTGCCCCAACGGGTGGTGGTGGCTGCCCATCCCGCGCCAACTTCCCCTGGAAACCCCCTCTTGCTCTCCCGCTGCACAGCGCCACTGCGCCCCTTGGCGCAATTATTGGATGGGCTGTTGCGGCGAGGCTGGGGCTGGGACAGCCGCGCTGCAAAAGCGCGCGCCTCGCCCGCAGCCGCTGCGCCTTGTCCACAGGCGCTCTCGCCCCCCCTGCATGCTTTCCCTGGGTGGCAGGAGCTCAGGTGACAGGATCACTGTAAGCCAGCACCGTGACGAGAATGGATTGTTTATAGGAGTCAGGTGATTTCTACTGTTACAACGGTGGGTAGAGCTTTTCAGCCTTGAAATAGGGGCCCTTTCAATGTTGAAAAAGACCAGGAGGCACACATGTCATACGAGGGGTAGTTGCATGCCAGCCCCAACACACCGCACGCTACGCTCTGCCAGCCAGGAGCGCTGACTGCTTTACATCACACATGCCGGCAAAGACGGGTCGCTCGCCGCTGATGAGCTGGGCAAAATGGGCCAGCCCATGCCAGGCGGTTGGTTGCTTCAGGCCTCATTGGTTGGGGCGCACCTGGACAGGGCTTGCAAGTTGGTCCAACAACCATAAAAGTTTAACAGAAGATTATTGCTACGTACGAGGGACTGCATAATCGCCGGCACCCGCCACCGAAGGAGGGAAACCGCGGCGTGCTTGCGCTGTGGTACCACGGGCGAGTTCACATTCGCGCCGGCCCCCCCAGCGCCTAGCTCAGCCTGTGCGCCCGGCGCGCGCCGCCGCGGGAGCGCCGCCCTTGCCGCCGCCCGCGCCGCCGCCGATCGCGGCGGGCGCAAGCAGCAGGGCGCGCGTCCACTCGTAAATTTCCTGCAGGCGGGTGAGCGTGACACAGTGGTGGCTCGCGGTGACAGCGCCAGGCCCGCAGACAAGCTCGCACCCAGAGGCGCGCGCGCACACATACTTGCATGCTTGCACACGCACGCTAACACTCAGTATCAAACAGACAGGACCACACCTATGGCACACGTATGTTTGCACGCACAAACTCTTTCTCTCTCTCTCTCCCTCTCTCTCTCTCTCTCTCTCTCTCTCTCTCTCTCTCACACATACACACCCGCTCACATGCACGCGCACAGGCACACACACTCTTACACATGCACGCGCACACAATCACATGCACACACAAACCCCACCTCTTTGAGCACCATCATCAGCGCCGCCGCCAGCACTGTCTGCGCCAGCTTGACCTGCATGCCCCGGTAGAACCCAGCCAGGCCCTCAGATGCCCACATGCGGCGCAGCGCGTCCCCGACGCCCTCGTAGCGCATCCCCTCCTCTGTGTGGCGGTTGACTGCCTGTGGGAGGCGCATGGCGTGGTTTGATGGTGGTGAGGCGCGCTTGACGGGGAGGGAGAGTAGGGCGCGGGAGGACGGTAGACACCCCTCCCTGTAACACGAGCTTCAGGGGCTGGTGAAGCATTGCAGGAGGGCGATTCATGGGGGTGCGGCAGTGTGAGCGCCGCGAGGGCTTGCGCCGTCCCTGTCGACGACTCGCTGGTCGCTGCCCCACCCGCCCCAACCCCATCTTTTCGGCT